CTCGCAGGGGAGGGCACCAGCGCTCCCGCCTGCCCCCCTGCCCATCGCCTAAAGAGGGTGCCTGTCAGGGGGTGCACCAGTGCTCTCAGGGGGTGCATGTGCACCCCTGTGCATCCTGCATGTGTCACCACTGGTGAGAAACAACCCTGGGAGAATCATGAGAGATTACAAGGCCATGGGGAAGAAGTTCAAGGAACAAGGAGCGCAAGTGGTCTTCTCCTCAATCCTTCCTGTTTGAGGCTAAGGCTGTTGGAGGGAGGAATGCATTGATGAAGTCAAGCAAAGGCTTCAGAGATAGTGTTACCATGCTGGTGTTGAGTCCTTTGTACTTGGTACGCAGTTCGACACAGGACTGCAAGCAAGAGATGGTAGCCCAGAAGCATGGGCCACAAGCAGGATGAACTGACACGCCTTCTGGCAGACGAGGGTTTTGATCTCATTGGATTGACGGAGACTTGATGGGATGACACATATGACTGGGCAGTGGAAATTGAGGGCTACAGGCTCTATAAGAAGGACAGGGTTGGAAACAAGGGTGGAGAGGTGGCTCTCTATGTGTAGGAGTGGTACCCCTCCCTGTAGGTCACATTTGATGGCAGAGGGAAGTCCCTTGAGACCTTCTGGGTCAAGATACAAGGGGGCTTGGGAGAAAGGGACCTGATGGTGGGGGTCTACTATAGGTCTCCCCACCAAGAAGAGGAGCATGACCAGGCTTTCTACAGGGAACTGGATGAAGCAGCTAGTACTAAAGACTTGATTGTCATGGGTGACTTCAACTACCATGACATCTGATGGGAAGATCATTCTGCCAGCTCAAGCAGATCAACCAACTTGTTGGTGACTATAGACATCCTGTTCTTGGCACAGGCTGTGGAGTAAAGCCAGTCTGGACTTGGTACTGGCCAAAGGGGAAGATGTGGTAGGTGACCTGAAGATTGGATCACAATCTGATCAGATTTCCCATCCAGCAAAAGGCTGTGAATTCTACCAAAAATCCTAGACTTCAGATGGGCAGACTTTGGCAAACTCAGGAGACTAGTTGGAAAGGCCCTTCGCAACCAGCGACTGGATGACTTGGGAGCTCGCAAAGGATGGCACTTCCTCAAAGGGCTATTATTACTGCTCAAAAATGGGGAGGAGAGTCCCTACACCTCCCACAGCGCTTGTGCACCTGCTTTGATCCCTTCAATTGGAGAGGGGGTACCTCTTGGAGTACTGCCCGGGTTACAGCAAAAAGGGATAGATAGGCATGTTACAAAGTTGTCATTAAAGATTTGGAGCCCTCTAAATCCCATTCATTTTAAAGGAAGTTGGCCATTTGACTCAGCTTTGAAAATCTCAGCCCAAGGTGCCAACCAAATAAGTCAAAATATATTTTGCATTTCTATGCAGTGCATCTATGTGGGGCTCTCCAAGCATTTTACAAACATTAAACGAACCTCAGGATAAGCCGAGCCGGAGCAGCAGGGGCTCAGCTGCACTTTCCCCTACCTGCGCTAGTCAGCCCCGAGCGGCACACGGCTCCACCACCGCCT